TGGGCAGCTGCACAAACATAGCACAAAGCATCATCATTTTATAGATCAGTTAAAAGAATAAATAATTCTATGTTTGTTTTTGGCATAAATATAAATATATATTTATGCATATATACACACACATATGTCAATATTTAGAGTAAAGCATATAAGGTACCTGTCTGGTCTTGGCCCTTTCATGATGTTGTCCCAAGCGCCTTGGATTGCTCCAGTGATCTCTGATTTTTTAACTGAACAGTCCAACACTGCTGCCCTGGAAATCAGACTTTGATTTGGCTATACAGAGGCAGCCAGCAGTAAAATATTGCATGAAAACAGCTGTTCTTTACCTCAATAGCCAAGGTTTTTTAGGGAGATGAAGTGAAGATAGGGGGTAAAGGCAGAGCAGAGTTAATGGCTGTTGTTTAGGTATCGATTCCATATTTTGTGGGCTAAAAGGTTGACCTTTTAAAGGGCAATTGGCACCTGCAAGATTTGATTTAGGAAAAAGGGAATAATTTCAATTTAATTTTCACTTCCTATTTTGGCTGGGAGAAAGTTGCAAAATTGCAGATGCCAAAGATGCTTTTTTCCTCTTCTCTAAGCAGGGAGGAGGGTTTTCTCCCTGGGTTTTTACCCACCCAGGCATGTGTTATGCCCTGGCAATTCCCATTTTCTTTCCCCATAAGGAAAACCAGCTAAAAAGGAGGCACACGGAGGCTCCCTGTTCTCTCCACTCCTTCCCTGTGCTGGTCTCTTGGGAAAACCCCACAGACGAGAGAGATCATCACTCCATGACCCTCTTAGCCTTTGACTACCTGCTCGTGTTTGGTGGGGCATAAAATGAGCAGAGTCTTCCCCAAACCAGCCCACTCCATAGTCATCCTCAACTCGTGCAATTGTTGCACCATGTAATGCAGAAGTTGAAAAGTTTCTGAGCTGGCACCACCACTTGCAGCTAGTGGTGTTTTTTTCCAGGGCCGGTTGGGAAGTACCACTAGCACCGGGACAACTCCAGTTTGCAAGCAGTCTTGGGGAATCTCCGTTCCCACCTTAGTTGCTCTCTGGATACTCGAAGACCTGCTTTTTCTGCAGCGCCATCAGATTTTGTGCATTTAGCAGCACAAAACGGATACAAGGAAGACTGAAGTCTGCCATTTACTTTGCCAAGACAGGTGGCGAAAGTGATGTACAGCTGAGCGTTTCATCATGTCTGCCAAGACATATTCATTTTGGATTAATTTTAAGACAGTTTTTAAAGTGATGATGAAAGATTATGCAGTGTGCTTCAGCAGCATTAAAAAATCACTGAATTTTTAAAAATCTCTCATTCAGATTGTCCCAGTTTGGCAGCTCAGGGGTGTAGTTGATTTGCAATTTGGAGGGATTCACCGATAGTGACATTTTCATTTATCTAAGTACATGGAAGTGCTGGCACAATCTGTGGGTGGTAGAAGAGCCTGCGATATTAAAACATGGCTACTTGAAATAATTCATTTGCAGTGAGGCTATATAGACCTAACATATGAAAAGCATCCATCCAGCAAAAACATAGCATCTATGAGTAAATGCTTACAGGCTTCTCATGCTGTAAGCTCAGCTGGAGCCTTGAAATTCAGGGTAACTGCTCTCAAAGAGCAACATACTTATAACAGTGTCACTCCTGAGCAGTTGCAAGTCTTTCCAGTCGTAGGAGCTCACCAAGGGAGCACAGACAAGGGATGCCGTCCTGCAGATAATGACACACATAGTGGGCATGTGGCTGCTCCTGATGCTCCAGTTTATGTTCTCACCACTTAGGAGTGGGTCAGCAGAGGGTTATTTCAGCATTGCCTTCGCATCCCATAGCACCACGTTGTCCTGTTACCGCACGCTCCTGGAGGACTGTTGCACCTGAAAGCAAAGATGGAAGTGCAGCTCTGCAGATACATGCCCACAGCCTAAGTGAAGGTTGCAAAGCCTCTCCGAGCTAAGCTCAAATTAATTGCCAGCCTCATCCAGAATAACCCACTCAATCAACCTTGTGGAGCTAGGATGCTCTTCCCCACAGAGTTTAGTCCCAAGGGATGTCTGCAAGGTGCTGAGAGGCCAGGGCCACATGGGTGCTGCTAGAAGATGGCCAGGACATCTGGTAGGAGCCACAGCCGGAGCAAACTATTAAGAATTCTTTGACAATAAGCCCTACTGGCTGCCCTTTAGTCAACTCTTCATGGTCAAGACTGAACAGTGAACAGAGACTCTCCTTCCACCTACTTCCTTGCTCACATGAAGCACAACGACAATTAGCTCAAAACACTCGGATCCACAGGGATGTCTGGCAGAGATGAGCAGAACCTACAGCCCTGTCTAACCACTTGACTGCAACTTGCACAAGGAGGAGATAAACATATTCCTCCCCTTCAAATGTCAAATGACGGTTTACTGACAGAAATGTTAAAAATGAATTGGTTCCCTTATCATGCTGCTGAAG